TCAATAAGATCTGGGGGCGAGTCATGTGCTTCTCTACATGTGGTAGCCAATTATAACAACAATTTAATGGGCTACGGTAGGTAACACCTACAATTAGTTCTGCGCGTCTGAGGTGGATTGTGCACCATAATTGCTCGCATAAACTATCCTCGCTCCGATAGACGCTGGTAAGTTTGCCAGATAGTGACGATTTTATGTACAACAGAACAGCACCGTGAGCCTCTGATTTTCAGTCGCATCGGAAACTAGAGTATCCTGACAACACGACTTCTTGTGGTACGACGTCGGAGTTCAGCCAAGTCTCTGCAAGTCCTAAAACGTTCGGCCGCTCCGCGACAGCGAAGCGACACAGTTCGTCAGGTTTGTTCATTAGGCTGCACACGTTGGAGAATGCCACACGAAAGCGCGTAAGCCTAACGCCAACCGGAATCGTCTGAAGTTCGCCATGAAGAGTGATTTCGACATCTTCTGTGTACCCGAATTGAGACGTCATAACTGTGAATAGATCTCTGAGGCTTCGATCAGCTTGATAGGAGCACTGAAACAGTTTCCACTGGCAGTGGGTTTCAGCGTGTCTGTAACGTGCTGAAACGATATCTGACCAAAATTCTCCGCATCGAAAGGGAATGTGGACGAATAACAAGGGCTCGGGACATGAAGAAAGCCAATGTTACTGGGAACAGCCAAGTGCTATTCGAGCTTATCCGGAACACGAGTACGCAAAAGCCATGAATTAGCGTGACAATAGCTGAGAAAGATGAACAGTTGGTCCATGCTCAACATCGTCGAGGAGCCCATTGGGCGGAACATGTTGTCGATCAATACAGCATTCTTGCTGCTACAGTGCCGCTTACTAAACCACCTGAGTCAACGCTTGATGTAGATGTCACACTCCTACTTTGGAAGATATTCGACAGGAGCTTTCCGTGTAGTAACCAAACGAGGCTCCTAGAACTAACAACATTGCTTCATCTTCGCTGAAACTTGAAGGTGGCTCCGTATTGACTGGACTTACTTCGATTTTTAGCACGATCGTCAACACTGAAGATGTGCCTTCAGACGGGCAACAGTCAACCGTGGTGCCAACCTTAAAGAAAGGTCAGGGTACTTTGTGCAAAAAGCATCGAAGCATTTACTTTATTTCTATTGCCTCCGAATTTCTTACGGGCATAATACTTCGACGACTTACTGTTCACCGTGGGAAACGAATCAATGGAGCACTGGAAAATGGTATACGATGGATAAAAAAAGCCAAGACTTGACAAGTCCCGTGGGATGTTTTGTGAGAAGAAAGTTAGTTTAAGTTACACAAAAGTGAAAAACACATCTGTGGACACCATATTATCCACGTCAACATATAGGTATATCCGTCGAAGCCGATTTCGTGGGGTTGTTGACCTCAATGTTCATCTGCTTCCTGTCATCACTCAATGAACATAAATCGGATCAAGTAATGTAAATGATATAAGGCATAGTCGAGTCGTATATTAAAAATGGGTAGCGTAGGCGAGGAAATGAGAAGTCGAAAGAGCGTTCCACGGTTGACAACCTCGAAGGGAAAAATAATTTCAGCGACATTCCAGCCGACTGTATTTGGCGGCCAGTTCTAACTTATGCCCCCAAAATTCCGTGTTGCGGCTAAGCTTCAGGTGGTGGCTGCAGGCATGCCCGGGGTTTATCGATATCTAGAACGTCAGGAGTACGTAACCCAGTAGACGGCGGTATCTGCCGCTGTACATTCCCATGGCTTTCAGTTGCCCATGGTATTGCAGGTAGGGAAACCCCTTCACATTTCTTTTTGCTCTTCTCTCGGCGGTCTCCAACCCAGCCAGATAGCCTTTTAAGCATGGTTGACAGCCTGGATCGCGTACTCTACATGGGCCCTCACATTTGCATTGAACATTTGGGGGAAGATGACAGGATCGAACCGCCCGAACGAACTCCCTAACAGCCAAACATGTTAATTCGCTGTTTGGACGCCTTCAAAGACTGCGCCGAACAGCCGAGATCATCTTGGATCACCACCTCGAAGTTGCACTCTTGTGTGGCGGTTTACAGCATGTCGTCTCTAAGCCTATATGCGTACGTGGGCTGGTGGCAGACATGCACGGTTTTGCACTTGTCCGTGTTAAAAGGAATTAGGTTTACCTTTGACCATTCAAAGGTGTGGTCTAAGTCTCGTTGTAGCATATGGTGATGTTTCTGACAGTCGATTGCCCTCCATATCTTGATGTCATTGGCAAAAAGCAGGAAATTTGACTTGATAACACTCGCAAGTTCGGTAAGGAAGAACAAAAAGAACCGCGGCCTCAACACTGACCATAAGGAGCACCGCAGTACACATTACTTGGATAAGATAATGAGCCCACAAGTCGAACCTGAAGGTGCCGCTGAAGGAGAAAGTTTTCGATCCATCCAAGGACAGAGTTCCAAACTCCGTAAGCTTGCAGCTTTTGGAGAACGATGAGGTGATTTAAGAGGTCGAAAGCTTTAGAAAATCTAGGTAGATGACATCAATGCCGGTCCCACTGTTGGCTATCCCGGTCCAACTGCCACGAGCAATAGGTAAATCGGTACTACATGACCGATGCTAAGGGAGTCCGTGTTGTCCGTTGCTACGATGTTAAAATAGCCCATTACTTCCTCAACTATGATCAATGTCATTACCTTCGAAAGCACCAGGAGGAGAATCATTGGGTGATGGTGGGCTCTGAATGGCTACCACTTCTGATAATCGGAGGAATGATGCCTTGCTTCTACATGTTAGGGACCTGCTATTCGTCTAGGCGCTTTTTAAAAAACCTCGTTAGTGGTTCAGCTATCTTCGTAACTGCCACCTGCAGGGCTTTCGGTGGAATGTTGTCAACTCCGGGGGAACTATGGGTGTGCAACGAGAGCAGTTTCCTCAAAATGGTCACCGAACCAAAGATGACATGTGCAAACACTGGCGTCTGGAAGATTGGGACAGGTATTTTACACATGCTGGTAATACGTCTGAAATTTGGAGCATATTGGAGCCTTAGAACGTTAGCTGCATCCACGGCAGTTTGACCACATCCATCTGCTGATATTAGTAGGGACACACCATATTTCACATGCCTGTACAGAAGCTATTTGTTATCACAAAATCTTTCCACTAAACTCTACAGGTGTACTAATTTGTCCTCACACACACAAGCATGGTACAGGGATTACGATGCGTGAAATAGTTACTCCAGTTGTCAGCGCTAGTAGAGTTTGCTCTGCGTCTCCTACTGTTATGTGTTTTCGGGTTCTGTTCCGAATTAATGATTGTGATCTTGCAGTTTGCTCCCCGCCGTGGTCGTGGTTGTATCGACCACATATTTGCTCTTCGCCAAGTTTTAGAGCAGAGACATATGTAAACGACTGACTACGGTGGTTTACCTTGACTCGAAATCTGCCCTCCACTCTCTTGACCGCGCCAGCTTATGGCCCTGTCTTTCCATGAAGGGCATGCCAGCTAAATTCCTTTCCATTATTCAGTCTGTCTGCCGCGAGTCTGGAGACCGTGTAATGATCTACGGATATCTGTCTGCTGCGTTTCCCACGACAAATGTGCTCGCCAGGGTTGTCCTATAACTCCTTACCCTGAAGGGGAAATTGAAATGAATATGAAGGACTCTGTTCTTTAAGACTACCGGAGGAGAAGTTTGCCTAGCAATCGACTGACAAGTCTGGAGTATGCGGATGACATAGTTCTTCTTGGGTCCGACGCAGAGGTTATGCAAAGACTACTAGAGGGACTGACACGTGGCGGTGCACGCTTCGGCATGTGCTCTGAACCTCCACAGAGCAAAGTTCCGTTGCACGACTGGACCAATATATCACCGGTCCTTATTGTTGCCGAACTGCCACTAGAAGTGGTGGATCGGTTCAGTTACCTTGATAGCTGCGTCACTACCTGAGAAAGTCACATTGCGTATCAACAAGGCCCCTGTGGATCGCCAGAGGCTCAACCATCTATGCAGATGGCGGGAACTCAGCCTGTCAGAGAAAGGTAGGGTGTGTAACGCTGCAATAAGGTCGGTGCTACTATCTGAATCAGAGACCTGACCAGTTCGCGCTAAAGACACTAAACGCTTAGCCGTGTTTGACCACCGGTGCTTGCGCAGTGTTGCTCACATCTAGTGGGAACACCGGGTGGGTAATGCTGAGGTCCGCCAGTGGCTTCTTGGCAAGAAGTCTTCTCGTGCCACACTCAAGTGTTTGCTGAATATTAATCGCTTACGTAGACTAGGCAATGTCCTCCGTTGATCGACTTCATCGGCAGGCATTATACGACGTGGCTGCAGCAAGTTGTGCTAAACTGCGAGGTGGACAGCCTCTGACGTGGCATAGAGGAATGCAGAAACTGAATTTGAGACTTGGTCAGATTGGTGCGCGTCGTCTTCTTGGCTGGGGGACCTCGGGATGATCCACACAAATGGCTGGAGACCGTGTCAGACGTGGCGCAGTCACGCAGTCAGTGACTAACCTGTATTCGGCTTCCTACATCTGATTTTTAATTTTCGTTCCATCCTGATTAGTTCAACGCACTTCTTCCTTGTTTCCATTTCCTTTCTATGTTCGTTGCCTTCAACTCCACTATATTTCCTTTGTTATTCATTGTTATTCTGGCGAAGCGGGTCCTGACAACTCCATCCGCCGAACTTCGGTGTTTGGATCATAGTTGTGCAATCGAACTGGACTGAACGCGTTATCGTGCACTTGGTTACCTTACAGAGGATGCGGTTATCCTTCGGCATGCCACTACATCTTCCCTGAAGCAGCGTTACTCGTCAAAATATCGTTTTGTGCGTCCAGTACGCTCAACGCTGGTTCTGAGCGTGCGATATGATTGCCCGGAGTAACCTATGGCTGTCTTTTTGTGACAATTATCATTTCACTAATAACACATTCGCACGCTACTCTCCCATATGTTCAGCATTTCTATGCACAAGTGGAGAAATATCAACACCGCAAATTCGGCATCAACTTACATGAAATGGTGGTCAGGCGCGTCTGCAAATCCTCATTCGTCTGCTGCTGGTCAGCCGACGCGTTCGTTAGTTGGCGTAATTGTGTTTCCAATTCCGCACGCCTCAATGTTCCATCCGAACGTTCTGCTTGCAAGTCTTGCAAACGTTCAAGTGCTTCTTGAAGTTGTGCCTTGGTCTCGTTTAGACTATTTCGGCTGACTTCCAGGCGTTCCTGTGAAAAATACGAAAATATCTTATACATGAGGCTGCGTGAGTGAGGTAGCATCATAGCGTTTGTGTTTCAACTATTACAACGGGCAGAGGCGGTTGGTGCCTTCCAGCAGAACCACAACTTAAAGTTTCTTTCGTGCCTTGAAATAAGTTGCTAGACGACGAGCGACCTAATAAACAGTATGTAAATTAAATACGCTAGTACATCCTACGGATGGTTGGGATCAAGTTTCCCGGGAGGTTAAACTCCTTAACTTCGGCAGAATCTGGGTCAGAGGTTTTACCTGAAAATCGCTGAAAGTAATGGTTTAGAACTTATCGCTAGCTAATGCTGTATTGGAATTTTGGTTATTGTTGCATTTACACCTTTTGTTCTCTCAACGGGACAATTCTGCAAGTGGGCAGCACTTGAGATTTATAGCTCCACACTTCACATTGGTGTAATAGTCGTCGCTCGTCGTATCCTGTAGAACTGCGGCTTACATTTTATTCAGGTGATTTCAACTCTGCTCTTTACGCTCCACTTTCTGGTTATCCTTCCGGTGACACTGGTTAACAAGGTTGCTTTTAATCAGAAGTCGAGCTACCGAATCCTGATCACTTCAATTCCACAACCTTTGGATACCTGTACAACACAGTGAAGTACGCCCACTTTACTTATAAACCACGTACACTCACCAACCAATGAAGAAGCGGATAAGCGACCGGATAGTATCCGGTCTGACCATGTGTTTATGGGTGTCTTTTGGAGGTTCCTTAAGACAGACGTTTGGTAATCGCAACTGATGTTGATCTTCCAGGTCACATCATGAAATGTTTTTGTTTCGTCGATTCACTCATAAGTGAATACGGACAAATAACATAGATTACAAAGAGTGACAAAGACGGAGCACTCTTACAACCAATCGCTCACCAACACTGGTAAAAGAACTATGGGGTCACCTCAAGCGCCTAGTCAGTAGATCGCATCATTCCATAAACAATGTCCAACAACTCCTGGAGTAGCTTAAAGACCTACGAATAGATCATGATGAAAATATGATGCCCTTCGATACAGCCACCCTATTCACTTCCGTCAATTTACACCTGGGGAAAGAAACTATCGATGTACGTCAGGACAACAGAGGAGACAGGAGCGAAAGCATGACAACTAGAAGTGTATGCGAACTTCTCCACTTATTTCTCTCAACTTGCTTTGCGTTCATCAGAAATTTATAAACTAGTGAAAGTTGCACCAATAGGATCCCTCAAATCAGGACTCATGACGTAGACTGTCATGAAAAAATTGGAATAGGATCTGCTATCAAGTGTTAATCCGAAAATTTGGGTTCGCTAGGTCGATGATACGTTTGTGATATTTAAACGTAACCTATTATCAGCTACACAACAATTGCTTAACGGTGCCATGAACGGCATATATTTAACCATTAAATCAGAGAAATAAATCAAACCATCTTTCTTGCATGTGTTAGTAAACAAAATGGACGGTTAACTCTAAATATCAGTTTACCTAAAAAGCACGCACATAGGTCAGACGCTGCGTTTCAATTTATACCACCCCAAAGGTCACAAACTAAGCTGGTTAGACCCTGGTTGCAAGAATGATAATTCATTGTAGAACTACGGAAGCAAAACGAATAAGAGGGAACATCTATTCAAGCCATTTAAATGTAACGGATATCCACGCAGTTTCTTCCAAAGTTGCCTAAAGCATAAGCACACAAAAGCCAGCCTACAACAGTGACAAGGAAGCGGATCGTTTTGCCGTATCTAATGAACATATCTGAAATGACTGCCAGATTGTTCAAGCAGCATGATATCATAGCGTCCCACAATCCAACCTCAAGTCAGCGGAAAAAATTATCAAGATCACAGGGAAAATGAGAAGCCTAAGAACGCAGGCGTGCTATACACAAATAAGTTGCATAATTTGTGAAAAGCATTGCTTGGGACAAACATGTGAGCAGCTATTAACAACGATACAAGAACAGAAAAAGGCGTGAGAGGAACATTCCGCAACCTCACTGGTTTAGGCACAAATGGATAAAGAAGGAACCAGATTCGATTGAAACAAAGTAGAGATCATGACCCAAGGAGGAACGCAAAATGGAGTTAATCGAAGCCTATTTGTTAACCACGTATTTATTTATCAAGCATATCGACATACATTCAGTGCACTTACCCCTAAGAGAGAGCGAACTCAATAGGATTAGAAATGGTATTACCAAAGCTGCCAGTCCACCACCCACATAGTGAACAGGACGATCAGTGTGAACCCAGACTGCCGACCTACGTCCACTGCTCCAATCGAATTGCCCGATTCCAAACCACATCGCAACGTGTGTGCTGCCAATAATAATGACCCCCGCAAAACTGCAGAATACAATGAATGACCAATCAGAACAGGGCCAAACTTAATAGCCCCAATCGCCAACATAAGGAACGAAGTAGCAGCTGGCGGCGCCCATCCTTTAATTTGCCTTCCATCAGCTCCTGCTGCGAACTTGTCATCACTCCTGCACTTATGCTATCACTTCGAATGAAGGTGAAACGTCTGCAATCAAATTGGTCAACTCTACGAACACTACAACTAATAATTATGGCTTCTCGTATGTGGAGGTATGTCAGGTTACGAGCTGAGTCACGAAACGTAAGCATTCATCAGTCCTCCTCCGATTGGAGCTTTTGAAAATGCTTCCTTCGTATCGCTTAACTCAGTTTGAGTTGAAGTGGATCAATGCTTATAATTCACTTGACGTTTAGTTACGGTAGGCTTGCGTAGTGAATAAGCTTCGACACTAACGGGAATTGCTCGATGAGCTTCAAGAAGCTGGAGAGATCAGGCAGATTCAGTAATTAATAGTTTTACTGGTAGCCCTGTTAACCACTGCCTCTCTCTTCCGCTTCTTGTGTCCCGCTGAGCAACAACAGATGCTTGGCGTATACTTCACTACGCAGGACTGTCACAGTGAACTCAGGCAGCGATTCTCGCCTATTTCCCCCAGATGCAAACTTCTGGTGGAACTGTAAATCATCGTCTGCATCCTCATTTTGCGGATTGTAAGATGCATTCTAAACAAAGGTAACTGTTGGTAGGCAAGATGAATAAACAGTCGCAAGCAAGCAGCAGCAATGTCAAAAGGTGTGGATAGCCCCGATCTTGTCACCTGTCTCCCTATTCAGTACCACAGTATGTCGTATGGCGCAGTGTCAAACCCTATGTGACTGGCTATAACGTCACTGATAAGTGTTTTCTGGTTACCGAAGTGAGTACGCAGCGGATGTTGGATGAGCAACTGCGATGGCGAATACGTTTTACGTAACCGGAACACTGTGATGGCTTTGGGGTCAAATGTATGTCAATGGCCGACTTGCATTGGGAGGAGTTCTTTTTCCCAGGACAAACTATACCTTCGTGCTCCTATAGCTGGACTGTTTGGGCATCCTTTGTAGATTGTTTCTAAACGAAACCTATGTTAACCATTGCTTTGCTAGCGGCTACCAGCTGCTGCGATGTATGTTGACCGTCCGGTTGCTTTGCTGGTCAGGTCTTCAGGACCCAAAGCCCCATGTGGAATGCCCTATTCAATCGTCTTCCTCGGCTTGGCAGCCGGTACATATTATTTCTTCACACCCTATGTGGGTACCAACCTTCTAACGCTCTGCCGTCCAGTTAAGTTATTCTACATTCGTACAACCAGCCACTAATCTTTAGTAACAACCCTCCTTTTCCGAGTCCACAACAGCGTACGGTCTTGAGCAAGAGTTCTCTCCAAATGGGGCAGGATTTTAGGTCCAAACGCACTGGCAAGTCTTTTCCGGCGAACTTTTTTCATTGCAAGCTGATTACCTTCGGCGTTTAGATGATAATGCAGATCGGATCATAGCTGAAGCATGTTTGCATTCTAGAAATCAGTACTACTGTTATTTGCTAGCTTACTGGGATCGGTTTGCAGCGACCTAACAAGACACTAGGACTAGTGCCACCGTTGGCAAGTTCTACTGGATATTAGCATTTTGCACACTGACGTGAGGATTGCGTTTAACCTACGTGCTGACACTATTATGTTTTACTGGATCCCTCTAGTACCATCCGACCGTTTTATCCAATTAGCAACCTCAGTATAAATCTCGGGCCATGTAACCAACAGACGTTGTCGCGTCGTATGCTCTCACAAACTGCAATCAAGACTCAGTTAAGTATAAGATCTACTATCTACTCACTAAGCTTCTACGAATAACCGCACAGACTTCATGGTGATTACTGGGGAACTAAGCGAGCACGTCGACCAACTCGATTTTGACGGAAGAGACCTCGGTGTTCTACATTTCAATGGGACAGAGAACAGTGATCGTCTAATACAGCTTTGCACTGATCATGAGTTTTTCTCTCAAGTACTAACTTTCGGTAATCATGGCTCTAAACGGACACCTGGATCTCCCGCTCCACCATTTGGTGAGTCGTGGATGTAAACTGACCACCTCGCCATCATTTACCACTGGCGCGGATGCATACAGAATAACGAATCAGGTTGGATTAGCTAGCAAAAATCGAATCACGCGCTAATGCTTGCTAAGGTCATCCTATCTTATGGGGGTTGCCGAAAAAGTCATCGCAAAAGCTTTCTGCGCTCGATTATCTCAGTTTCGTTCGAGATGCGATGGTCTCAAAACTCAATTGACGGCCGTTCAAACATGGAGACACACTGTGCACACATTTGTGGCGCTTTGCACAGCACTAGAAACTTTGTGGTTCCACAAATACTTCTGTCTACCTCTGGCTGTCCTTACAATCACCACAGCTTCTCAAAGCTCGTTAGCCGATTCCCTTTGGCGTTGACTATATTTGCACGACGCGGAACTCGTAACGATGAACACAAGAAGCTCCTCCGAGAAAGTGGTGTGGCCTGATGAACGCAGCGGTTTAGCGAGTTGGAGCAAGTGGTCACCTCTTAGGTTATCCGTAAGCTTCTCCTCGTGGACCGATTCACTGGCGATAAA